GTAGAAAGAAAGACGTATTTGTAGTGACGCGACCCGAGGGGTGAGTTGGGTGGGTGGGTAGGTGGGTAGGTGGAAATACCTTTTATTTAATTTTACGAGTTTAAAATTTCGGACGGATGGAGTAACAAGTAAGAGAACACGTGAAAAGAAATGGGGGGTGGGGGAAGAGGAGTGGGGGGAAACGAAGGGGGGTAGGAACGGAATGAAGAGAGGGGGGAAGAAAACGGTCAAGGTGAAAAGTTCGTTTGCGGGAGGGGTTCGAAAAAAAAAAAAAAACAAAATTGACCCCACGGGTGCGAGTGGAAAAGGGGGGAGAGGAAGACGAGTAGGGGGGAAAAAAATTCGCGTGCGTAAATTCGTAAGTGTGCGTGAGTGGGGAGGGGGTAAGGGAGCAGGGGGAGGACTAAAGGAAAAGCGAACCGATAAATTATATGAGATGAATCGGAATTTTTCTCGGTCTTGAATATATATACATATTTATTATTATTATTTTTTTTTCCCTTCGCCTCACGCACTCACGCACGATTTCAAATACACGCACGCACTCTCTCTCTCTCTCCCCCTCTCTGTTTTTTCCGCCATATTTTTCAATTTTTCTTCCCGTTTTCTTTTAACTTATTTTTTTTTAACGTGAATTTTTTTCTTTTATTTATCTCTTTGGGAAAGAAATTAATAATAATAATAATAATAATAATTGATAATGATAATAAATTTTTAAAGAAATTAATTAGGTTCGTCGTACCTGTCGGGGGTTTTTTTTTTTTTTTTTTGATGCACACGAATGCTTATTACGCGGTAATAAAAGCAAAAAGAAAAAAGAAAAATTTATTTTGGATTTATTTAAATATCATCGATGATGATAATAATAATGATGATGATGATGATGGAGTCTCCAGTTATTATGTCTTGAGCTCAATTATACCTTCCAGGCTTTTTTCATTTTCATATCTTCAAAAAAAAAAAAAAAAAAAAAAAACTAAAAATGATCATTTAAGTAGGCGGCGATGAAATTTTTAAATGCTCCCTCACAAAATCAGGTTTTCTGATAATATCCCCCCCTATCTCTCTCTCTCTCACACACACACTCTGTCTCATTCGAACGCAAACATGGCGGAAATTTTTTTATTTTTATTTTCCGTTTGTATATTTATATATATTTATTTCCACGTTATTTTTTTGGGAGAATGGTAGAAAAGAAGGAGAAGAAAAATGTCGAAAGGGTGAAACGACGAACCGAAGGGGGCGAAGGGGGAGGAGAGGTAGGGAAGGATGATCCTTCCATTTGGTTATTAATAATAAAAATAAATAAAAATTCGATTTTAGGGGTTCGAAAAGAAAAAAAAATATGTTGTTTGTATTTCATGGTGTTTGTTTGTTTGTTTGTTTGTTTGTTGGTTTGTATACGTCGAATCTCCGGTTGTTTAGGCTGGCCTGGCCTTATATTTTTATTTATTTAAACGAAACGAACGATTTTGATCGGAAAGGATCGGTAGGGGAAATTTCGCGATTATTCCTTTTTTTTTTTTTTTGTCGGGGGTTTGTGGTGGTACCACGTGACCGATGGCGACAGTTAAAAAATCGATTTGAAGAAAAAGGATTGCTATTGATAAGATGTAGAAAACGGCGGAAATGACGGCGGTGGCGATGGTGTCGGCGGTGGTGGTGATGGGGGTGGCGCTCACGGCTGCGGCGGTAGGGATTCGGAAAATTTATTCCCGACGTTGAATTTTACAAGAGGAAAATTTACAAAAAAAATTATTATTATTATTATTATTATTATGTGTATTTTTTTAATAGGCCGCCATTTTTATTTTTTCGCAAATAAAAATTTTTTTTTTTTTTTTTTTTTTTTTTGTTAAGGAGTCGTTCAAATGGTGAGCAACAAGTTTGGTTCGGTCGTAGGATTTTGGCAATCGTTCAGGAGTAGTAGGAGGGGGGGAGGCAAAAAAAAGACGTGGCACTAACGATATCGAATACGTTCGCGCCGTTAAATTAAATTAAACGAATTATAATATTATTATTATTTTTTTTTAAATTTAATTTTCTTTTTGTTTTTTTGTTAATTCTATTATTATTATTTTTACCATTATTATTATTATTATTATTATTATTATTATTATTATTATTATTATTATTATTATTATTATTATTATTATTATTATTATTATTATTATTGCATGAAGCAGAAGAAGAATCAAAAGTTCATGTAAATGTTAATTAATATACGAAACCATCAAACAACCATCGTCATAATTAATTCTTTTTTTTCCGTTGTAGTTGTAGTTGTCGTTGTTGTTGTTGTTGTCTTTGTCGTTGTCGTTGTTGTTGTTGTTGTTGAATGTTTTTCGATTAATTAACGGAATTTTAATGCGTATTGAATTTAAATTTAAATATTTTCGAAAAAAAAAAAAAAAAGTCGGTTGACTTTTTAGTTTACTCGGGATCGAGAGAAGGTGGTCGATCCGCTTTTCCTCGTTACTAATAGAAAATTATTATTATTATCATTATCATTATCATTATTTTTTGTGTGTGCGCGTGTAAAAGGAAAAAATAAATTTAAAATTTATTCAAAGGAATGAACTATATATATATATATATATATATATAAATTTATTATGAAAATTTTTTTCTTTTTTTCGTTTGTTTGTTTGTTTGTTTGTTTGTTTGTTTGTTTTTTATTATATTTTTAAATGTCGACACGTTCGTCGTCGGCTCCTTATTTTTTTAAATTTAAAATTTAAAATTTTAATTTTTCTCTCTCTCTCTCTCTCTCTTTTAAAATTTTAGGTTAAAAGAATTATGACTTTGAATCGGATCGTTTTGTTTTTTAAATTACGCACGCACGCGCACGCACACACACACGCACATATAAAAATATATATAAATAAGTATTCTGTTTAAATGGCAGGATCGGTAGTTTTTTAAAAAGGCGCGTAGGGGAGGGAGGGGCAGGGGGTGGGGTGGCGTTCGGCTACGGTAAGGGGTGACAGACAGACACCCTTTGAAAACGAAAAAAAAAAAATTTAATATTATACTTCGAAATAGGGTTGAAAAGAAAAAGCAAACAACAAAAATATATTTATTTATTTATTTATTATAAACATCGATTCGAAATCGATACATCGATCGATCGATCGATCGATCGACTTTTGTTTTCGAAACTTTGTATGACGTAATAGGAAATGTAAAGGGGGGAAGCGTAGAGAGAGAAAGAGTTAAAGATAGTTAGAGGGGGAGAGAGAGGGAAAAGAGACAACGTGGAAAAAGAAAAGTGAGAAGGAAGTGAAAAGTGTCGGCGGCGGCGACGGCGGCGGTTACGACGGTTTGTTTTTTTTTTGCGCGCGCGGGAAAATTTAAAAAATTTAAAAATTTCGAACGCAACCACCGAATGATTAAACGAAAACGTACGAGGTGATGATGATGATGATGATGATGATGGGCAGGGTAAATGGTAGTGAGGGGAAGGAGGGAAGGAGGGAGGGGGAGAGTAAAAAAAAAAATATTAAAAATAAAATAGTAATAATAATAATAGAAAAACAACCCTTTGTTTACATAGGCAAACAAACCCGAGTCTCGGGAAATAGAAATAAAGAGAGAGAGAGAGAGAGAGAGTAAGTGAGTGAGAGAGAGAGAGCGCGAGAGCAAGCGAGAAAGAGAGAGAGAGAGAGAGAAAAAAAAATAAAATAAAATATAAAAAAGAAATAAATAAATAAAGAAAAAAAATGTGTGTGTGTGTGAGTGTGAGTGAGTGAGTGAGTGAGTATTGCTGAACCACGCGTGCAGGGGCGTTAATGCGACTGCGCAGAGGGTTAGAGCGAGGGCGCGGGCGGAGTAAACGGGAATCGAGAAACGCCAGTTGCTCGCCAACGTTTTTACGTGGTTAATCCATGCGCGCGCGTCGGCCGAGTCCGCACTCGAATATTCTCGTACGTAATCGCGTGTATACACTTGTTATTACATATTATTTGTGCTCCTTAGTATTATTATCATTATTATTATTATTTTAATAAAAAAAAAAAAAAAAAAATGTGTTCGGTTGTTGTTTGTTATATACGTCCACCGTTAAAACGTTAGATATTATTATTATTATTAATAATATTTTTTTCGGGGCCTTTTTTTTTTTTTTTTAAAAGTATATGTACGTACATATTGTTCGCGAAAAAAAAATTTTTTTTAAAATTAATTTCGTTTCCGTTTTTTTTTTTTTTTTTTTTTTTTTTTTTTGTATTCATTTCCGGTGTGAAAAGTGCTACGAACAAGTTTGTTTGTGTGTATTTTTTTTTTTTTTTGTTTGTTTGCTGGGGGTTCGGGGAGTGATTTGCGGCCGGGGTTGTCAACTCGAAAACACATGTAAATATATATATATATGTATGCATATGCGTATGTGAACGTCGGGAGCATACGTACATATATGTATATGTATTATTACACATCCGCCATTTTTCACGAATTCCTTCTCACATTAATTTTTCCATAGAAAAAAGAAAAAAAATTTAATTTTTTTTTTTTTGCGTTTGTTTTGTTTGTTTGTTTGTTCGTTCGTTTGTTTCTTTTTTTTTTTTTTTAATCATCACCGACGGATTTTTGTTTTTTTTTTTCTCGAATGTTCTTATTGAAACAAAAACAAAAAAAAAAATTCGATTTGCAACATAAAGTTTATTATTATTATCATTAAGAATATGTGACCGGTTGTTGTTTTCTTCTGGCAGGTTCAAAGGTTATTCAATTGGTTAAAGAGAAATTAATGCCGAAGGCAGTTAATTAAATATTTGAAGAATAAATAAAACGGAATCGGTCTGGAGGGGGTCATAGCAAAGTGTTTGGACATAATAAAATTGAAGGGCTCTGCTAATATTGACGCGGCCGCAATAAGTGGCAGCAACGGTAGCAGCAGCAGTACCACAAGCACAAGCACCACCATCACGACCAATTGCGACATAAGTAGCAGTAGCAGTAGTAGCAGCAGCAGCAGCATCATCAACAGCGGCAAGCCGTTCAATATGCAACACGTATCGGGAGGAGAAGATTCGCCGCAACCCCCGCAGCAATTTTGCCTTCGGTGGAACAATTACCAGTCGAATTTGACGAACGTTTTCGATCAGCTGTTGCAAAGCGAATCCTTCGTCGATGTGACTCTCGCATGCGACGGCCGATCGATCAAAGCTCACAAAATGGTACTATCAGCCTGCAGTCCTTATTTCCGACAGTTGTTTTTTGAGAATCCCTGTCAGCACCCGATAATCATTCTCAAAGACATAAACTGGCCGGAATTGAAGGCGACGGTTGAATTCATGTACAAGGGAGAAATAAACGTTTCGCAGGATCAAATCGGACCCCTGTTGAAAGTTGCGGAAAATTTAAAGATAAGAGGATTGACGGACGTGAACGGCGAAGAATCGGGAGATGGAAAGTGTCAAACGATGAGAAAAATCGGGAGCGGGTGGGACCCGAAAACGTCGACTTTGCACACGGACGAGAGTCTCGAAGACGCGAGACCGTCTTCCCCGTCGCCGTCACATCATCACCTGAATAAGAAAAGGAGGAGGAAATGTTCGCCGGAGAGAAGTTCCGCGGGAAGGAATTCGGTTATGAGCAGGGAGAGTTCGAGCAGTCCCGAAATATCTCCGGGTGCTCCGGATTCGTTGGAGGCTGTCGCTTTGGACATGTCTCCACCGACGCCGCAAACACCCGTCAACTTGAACCTTTCCAATCACGTCAATTCCCATCCTCAGAATCAACACAGTCCGGCAAGACCCCAAAGTCGAGGACAACCCCATTCGGCTCCGCCGCATCTCGCTGCCGAACCGCCAAGCCTTCCGTTATCTATGCCGCCGACGGTTCCGCCGCACCTTCCCGTCGACGATATGGAAATCAAACCTGGGATTGCGGAAATGATCAGAGAGGAAGAAAGGGTGAGTCTCTTTTTTTTATCATTATTATTATTATTACTATTTTTCTTCCCCTTCATCTTTTTCTTTTTTTTTTTCTGTTGTCCGTCGGATCGGAGGAATTCATTTGTCGCCATTTTTTTTTTTTTTTTTACGTTGTATTTTACCGAATCGGTCGACATTTTGTTTTTTGTTTTCTTCTGCTACGAAAAAAAAAAAAATGTCATTTTCGGGTTGTAATTTTTCACGTGACGCGCATGCGCGTTAAGCGGGTGATTTTTTTTCTATTTGAAAAATTTTTTCGGGTTTTGCGGAAAAAGCAGAAGAAAAAATTAGTTAGTTTTTTAACGTGAGGTTTTTTTTAGCAGACGAATTTATTATTTCACATTTATTTATTTATTTATTAAAAAGATTTCAATAAAATAAATAAATAAATAATTGAAAAATTTCCAGTCGGAAAGTCGGTTGAGTCGAGGTTGTATGAGAAAAATATCATTATTATCATCATCATCATCATCATCATTAATTCACAAAAAAAAGGGAGGGGGGGAGGAAAAAAAATTCAAAATTATTATTATTATTATAAAAGTTAAACACATAAATAAGTTAAAAAAAAAAAATGTCGGTTTTAGAAAGAATTCAATGTGTAGAGGAGTATAGTGACGTCATAGAAATTGTTTCACACGCAATTTGAGTTTGGTTTTATGAAATAATAAATTATTTAAATCAATTTTTACTAAAGTAGAGGACACAAGAGCGAACACGAAAATGGTAGTTTTGCGGTCGTGAGGCCTCAAAAAGAGAGAGAGAGAGAGAGAGAGAGAGAGTATAACAGATTGAAAGAATAGGGAAAAAATAATTATAATAATGTAAAAATGGCATCGTCGGAATAAGAAAAATAATAAAGAAAAACCAAAAAAAAGAGAGAAAATTAATAATAATAATGATAATAATGATTTTAATGAAACGTCGACAAAATTTTTTTTTTTTTTTTTTTTTTGCGATTTATGTCACGTCGGGTTTTTTTCTTTCCTCTCTCTCTCTCTCTCTCTTCTCGGTGTCGACTTTGATATTCCAGGTACCCGAAAACTTCCGGATTCCAATCTTATCCTGTTTAGTTTGTTTCGTTTCTTTTAACGTAAACATTTTGTTTTGTAAAATAACCTTTTCGTTTGGGTCGTTCGAAATAATAATAATAATAATAATAATAATAATAATAATAATAATAATAATGAACGAAATACGGTTACGTTATCGGGGGGAAAAAAAACGATTGCAGTAGAAATTTAATGGGAAACAAAAAAAAGTGCGCAAATTGACTTTAATTTTTTTTTACGGCATTCGGGGAGGAGGAGGCGCAAATGAATATCACCCCTATCAGTCGATTCACACTTTTCTTACGAGCAGGGAAAAAAAATCTTTTTTCCCCGTCTTCTTCTTCTGCCGGTTACGGTGCAGGGAAATTTTTTCTTTTACCGCGAGAGTCATACGAAATGTAAATAAAACGAGGGTTGATAAAATAAATAAATAAATAAATATGGTTTTCTTATAATATTTTCGTCCCCGTCGTCGTCGTCGTCGAGGCGTCGTGCGTTGTTCAACGCATTTAAAAACATTTCCGATAGAAAAAAAATTTATTTTCATAATAATAATAATAATAATAATAAATTTTTTAATCTCGTTCGTAATTATTAACAAAATTAAAAATAATTATTTATCTATTTAATAATAATAATAATAATAATAATCCCTACATAACGCATGAATGTTTATGTTTGACGACGACAACAATCGGTTAGATATCGCTGATAAGTAAAATTAGGCTGTAAAAATTATCATTATCATTATCATCATTATTATTAATATTATTATTATTACTTAACAATTAAATGTCGTCGAAACTGTTGAGGAAAAAAAAAAAGAGAAAAATTTGTCGCCGACGACGCAAACAATTTTAAATTTAAATTTTTTCTTTTTTTTTTTTTTTTTTATTTCTCTTATTCTTTCCTTTTTCCTCTTCCCCCCTCCCCCCCGCCTCACGTCTCCTCATTCCTTTTTTTTTTTTTTTTTTTTTTTTTTTTTTTTTTTTTTTGATTTAAAATGTAAATTATTATTTCGAAAATTCTAGAAAGACACGGGGGGAAAAAAAACAAAAAAAAAATTCTTTATTAGTATTATTATTATTATTATTAGTTTTCGGGTCTCTCTATCTCTCTCTCTCTCTCTCTCTCTCTCTCTCTCTCTCTCTCTCTCTCTCTCTGTCTTCGAATCCATAAAAATATTTTCAGGTATATAAATTTTTTTTTTTTTTCCGAATTATTATTATTATTGTTATTATTGTTATTATTATTATTAATCCTTAATGTTATTTTGTTTTTTGTTTCTTTCCCCGAGTTTGTATCGTTTTCAAAAAAAAAAAAAAAAAAAATATGGGAAGGGGTGGGGGGTGGTCGGGGGGACAGAGAAGACGCTTTAAAATTATTATTATTATGTCGCAAACGATGGATGATTTTTTTTTTTTTTTTTTTTTTTTTTTTTTTTTTTTTTTTTTTTTTACGGTCGCATTAAAGGGAGGGAAGGAGATGATGATGATGATGATGATGTTTTCCGTAAAAGTTTTGTGCGTGTTGACGAACTGGTGGGGGGGAATTTTATTATTATTATTATTTATGTATTTATTTATAATTATTATAATGACGTATATACATATTCAATGACGTGACGAAAGAAAGGAACCATTTTTATAACATTTAGAGCGGCCATATTGTTTTTTAATCTCTTTTTGCTTCTCTACCCCCAATAAAATACCGACATATTTAGTTCTCTTTTTTTTTTTTTTTTTTTTGGGTGTCGGGAAAATTTTTCCAATGGTGGTGATGGTGGTTGTGGTACTGGTCCCCCCTTTTTTTAAGGGAGAAAAATTGGACGATCGGGAAAGTTTTAACTCATTTTCATTGACTCACCTCGTCTCTTTCTCTCTCTCTCTCTCTCTCTCAGTATTTTCCTCATGTAATTTTTCACCTTTGCCGTTTTTCGATTTAAAATTAATTATCATTATTAATATAGTATTATTATTATTATTATTATTATTATTATCGTCGTCGTCATCGTCGTCGTCGTCGTCCAAATGATTTAAAATGCAAGTGCCGACAAATTTTTGTCAAACTATTATCTTAATAGAAAATTGCTTACTATGGCGAATATTAAAAAAAAGTTTTAAATGTGCGGATTTTACTTTTATTTTTCCTTTTTAAATGTTTATAGAAAATTTTTTTTTCATCATCATTATTATCATTATTATTATTATTATTATTTCCTTATTTATTTTTTTTTTTTTCCCCCGTCTTGTTCTGCCGTACGATTTTTTTAAAAAAAAAAAAAAAAAAAATTCTTTTCAAGTTAATTATTGTCGCGAAATGAAATTGATGACGTAACGTTTTGTCGGTGATGTTTTAACGTGAGTGTAATCATCATTATCATTATCATCATCATCATCATCATCATCATTATTATCATCATCGGGATGAGCACCATCGTGAGGGACCATCTCCTCTCGTATTCGATCCATCGAACGTTTTAAAATTTGTTCTACCTTTTGCAATACGTGAGTTTCCTTTTATTATTATCATTATTATTATTATTAATCTTCATTTTACTATTTTTTCGCATGCATGGCAAAGGAAAGGAAAGGAAAAGGAAAAAAGGAAATGAAAGAAATTTATAAAAAAAAAAAAAAAAAAAAAATTTGTTTTTATTGGTTTAAATTATTCAGTTTTTTTTGTAAGGACTTTGGATTTAAATGATTTCGTGTCACTCCCCTTGAACCAGTTAATAAATATTCCGTTTGATTTGAAGGATATAACAAAAAAAAAAAAAAATTAATATTGTAAAAATCATCATCATCATCATCATCATCATTATTATTATTAATATTATTATTATTACTGTACTGGTTGTTATTATTAGTATCGCTGAATAGTTCCGTCATTTGTTTGTTACGTCCGGTTTTAACTCATTCATTGGTTCATTGGTGACGATGGTGGTGGTGGTGGTGGTGGTGGTGACGGCGTTTACTGTACCTAAACAGGTTCACGATAAATAATGATGATTTTCTTTTCTTTTAACAAAACGAAAACCAAAATTCGAAACCGAAAAATAAAATAATAAAAAACAAACGAGGAAAGGAAAGAAATCGAACGTAAATCATTTTATTATCGATTAATTTATATTAATATTTAATAAACGTCCAAGTTAAGTTGGCAACGGTTTAAATAAATTAAACTTTTTTTCCCCTCCCTCCCCCTCCGTTCGATTCAAACAATCGGCCGTTGGAATTTTTTCTTTTCGTTTCGTTTCGTCTCTCTCTCTCTCTCTCTCTCTCTCTCTCACTTATCATCATCATCATCATCGTCTCAAGAATTTGCCTTTTCCGGTTTTTTTTTTAAACTCGAAATTCGATTGGAAAAAATGGCGGCTGAAAGGAAATTTCATTTTCATTTTGGTAGATTTTTATTATTATTATTATTATTATTATTATTATTATCATCATCATTATCATCATCATCATCATCATCATCATCATCATCATCATCATCATTACGGCGATTCGAATTGTTTTTTAAAAAAAATGCAACGAGAGTCATTTGAATGAAAAAAAAAAAAAAAAAAAATTGACCGTTGACGAAAACGCGACCGGGTCCCCCCCTCCCCGTGAAACGTTGTTCGAAAATTTGAATTTATGGCGGGAAATCGAAAGCGAGCTAAGCGGGTGGCGAAGTAAAAGATGAGAAAGCGAGCGAGGAAGCGAGCGAATCGAGAGAGGATGAGTAGGGGAAAGTAAGAAGGAGAGGGAGGGAGAGAGGAAAGGGAAATGACGTAGAAAAAAAATAGTAAAAAATTAAAATATAAAAAAAAAATTAATTAATTTCGTCATCATTGCGTCGTCGTCGTCGTGACGTCATCGTCATCGTATTATATATATATGTTTGTACGTACGTATATATATATACATATGTGTATATATATGGAAATATGCAAAAGTTTCAAATTAATTAGTATCAATTAGTCGTTAGTTTTACTTCATCCATTTAGTTAGTTATTTATTTATTATTTAATTGAATTAGTTTGTACTAGTCAAAAAGGAAGTAGATGAGTAGAAGAATAAGACAAAAAAGGACGACGACGATGAAGAAAGAAAGAAAGAAAGAAAGAAAGAAAAAAAAAAAAAACTTTAAACTTAA